AACTACATTATTACAGTACTGTAACTCAAAAGTTTCAAATAAAGATTTTGATAGTACAAAGGGAAGAGAAATAAATTGGGCAATGCTGTGACAGCTAAATCTACATCTATACTTACAGGAAATCAGGAGTTAATATATATAATTGATAAACCAAGAAGTAATTTCTTCATGTTATTTAGATATATAAAGAATAAAAATATGAAAAAACCTTTAATTAAGAATGACTGTTACTAAAAACAGGAATGGGGTGGTGAAGGTTGGGACAGGGTTTGATGAGCACTTTAAAACTTATCTAATTATTTTTAAAATGTGTGTATTTCATGAATATTAAAATGAGTAAAAAAAAATTGATCCCACAAAACAGTGCAAATGAATTTAGTTATCTAAATATTTATCGGACTGTGTGCAAAGCATAGTGGTTGTAGGGAGCAATGGGATTAATAAAATCAATGGCTGCCTTCTAGAAGAATATAGCCTTTTCAGAGAATAAAACAAGTATTTAAAGCACTCCAAAGATCACTTGAGCTTGGGAGGTTGAGGCTGCCGTGAGCTGTGATTGTGCCACTGCACTCCAGTCTGGGTGATATACCCTGCTTAAAAAAAACAAAATAAAGCGCTCCAGTGGCAGGTAAGACTAAGGAAAGAGAACCAAGAGAATACCGCAACCTCCACTGACCATTCTAGCTACTGAAGCCCTATAAATGTGACATTCTGGCACACTCCAAATATAAAACACTCCACTTATATCATTAACCTGATAACCCCAGCATTGTTTCTGTAGATGCAATAAGAGAGAATCATAAATCCAGTCACTTCTACTATATGTGAGTTTTACAAATGTACATACATGTGGTGTGTTTGTATAAACATATGTGTATTATGTATGCATATATCATGTGCACACATTCACACATAATTTAAAATTTTTCTCACTTGGAAGATTTGTTAAACATTTCCGACAAATGGCAAATAAAGACTAGTCTAGATTGGATTTAACATTAGGACTGCTGTGTAAATGTTACCAACCTAAGCTAATTGTCTGTTGATCTCATGCTGCTACTGTCCTATTTCATTTGGAAATACAAATTTTAAGTATGAAACTTTTTTACTTAGTCTTATATAAAATTCAAAGAAACTTCAGGTCACAGTGATATTTGATGAGAAATGCTAAGAGGGAAGAATATTTTAATGTAGTTACTGTGAGCATTCAGGAGCACTGCTTTGGTTATTATACTTCGTAAGAAAAGGAAGAAGGCCAGGGAATATTTACATTCCAGTGAGCCAGGAGTGAAGTAAGACCACTGTACAGATACTGAAGCAAAGGCATTATTAAGTCTGTTCATGCTATGTTCCTTAGTATTTTAAATTCAAGTTATTTCCCTTAATGTTTAACTACAAAAATGCCTTTGTTTAATCTCTTTGTTACAAACTCTTTATTTCTTAGAGAAATTGACCATTTATATTTAATAGGCACTGAAAAGTTGATTAGAGTCTCTGCTTATGGGCTGGTTTGACAGTGGGTGGGCTTCCATGTACAGGGTGACTGGGCACCAAGCTGGCATTCTACCATCAGATATTAGTATCTAGAGGTTTTTCCTCTGTGGCTATTTAGTTACAGTCTTTCAGTCTTCTGCATAGGCAATATGTTCCTGGCTTCTGGCAGTCTGAGAGCAGGATGGCGAAAGGAGCTATGTTCTCAAATTGAATATGCATTCACTCAGTTCCCCCGTTTTCAGCCTTGCACTGATATTTTCGACTTTGGTGCTTGTCAGGTTCAGTTGTGCCACAGAGTTGGGCTACTGAAATGGAGATAGATGCTTTCATATGATTGTTCAGAGAGGAGGAGAACTAGGTGTGCAGTGGGATTCCAGTGTCTCTGATTTTCAGTCAGTTTTCCAGTTTTCAGCTCTACCTATACTCTCTGTGGTAACTGGCATCCACAGATTCTCTGGGGATCTACAGGATTGTTTCAGTTTTTTCGAAGCATATTTCCCTGGAAGTATTGAGAATAAATTGTTCTCTGTTCTGCTTTCTTAAGTCAGTTACCACAACACCATTTGCGCTTTTTTTGCCTTAAAACATTAAAAAACATCCTGGCTAACCAGGTGAAACCCCATCTTTACTAAAAATACAAAAAAAAAAAAAAAAAATTAGCTGAGTGTGGTGGTGGGTGCCTGTAGTCCCAGCTACTCGGGAGGCTGAGGCAGGAGAATGGTGTGAACCTGGGAGGCGGAGCTTGCAGTGAGCTGAGATCGTGCCACTGCACTCCAGCCTGGGCAACAGAGCGAGACTCCGTCTCCAAAAAATAAATAAATAAATAAATAAATAAATAAATAAATAAATAAAATGAATTTAAAAAATTTTTTTATCTACTAATGTGTCTTTCATTTATACCTCTTGTCCTTTTGGTTTATATACTTTGTTTAAAAAAATCCCTTTACTGTCATTTCAGTGTGATTTTGGGGATGTGGACTGTGGTCAGTCTGCATTTTTAACCAGAAATTTAGAAGCCTTTTATTTGCTCACCATTTTCGTTTTAGTATCTGGCACGTAGTAGGTTCTTAAACAGATATTTGATGAAATATTAAATGAATTGTTAGAAGTTTTTATAGTTGTGGGAGGCTTTTATGGTAGAATGATGTTATGACTATGCAAATATAACAAGTTAAAAGGCATCTTTTAAATTATGGTTTTACTTTGGCTTCATTCCATTTTTTGTTTTTGTTCCTTAACATGGTCAAGGGAATGAAATACTTTGAACAGTGTAGTAGTGCAGGATGGATATATGTTAGTTTACTTGGTCAAACACAATTTTAGCTGTCACATTAGGCTTAAGATACACAATTGTCTATTTATAATTTTTCTAGAGAAATTACCTCTATAGAGGTAGACTTGTATTGAGATTAATTTATAATTATGCACAGCCTTTAGTCTTAATTATATGTATATTTAGGGTACTTCTATAGAGGCCGATGGTGATTATGGTGTAAAAATCTTCCAACTACCACTGCTGTCTTTCCACTGGCCCCTTTGTGGTTAATAAAGTTCAAGAGCAGCTGGCTTAGTGTGGCATCATATCCAGGTATGTTTTGTATTACAAAGTGAATATGTGAGGATAGATAAAATCTAGTAAGGGCAAAGAAATTAAACTGTAGAAGTGAAAGTAAGTAGTAAAGTTGATATTTTGAAGGAGTAGATCAGAATTCTTCTTTTTTATAAAGGCAGCCCTGGACAAAGAAAGATGGGATTGTAGAGCTATAGGTATGGTAGAGAGTCCCTGATTTGGCTTCATTGCTGGATCTTGGATCTTAGAAATGTGATATTCCTGCCCATCATACACTAGTAAGTGGATGAATGAAATTTTGACAATGACCCTTAAAATCAATGACTAGGCTGGGTGCAGTGACTGATGCCTGTAATCCCAGCACTTTGGGAGGCTGAAGCAGGTGGATCGCCTGAGGTCGGGAGTTCCAGAACAGCCTGACCAACATGGAGAACCCCCATCTCTACTAAAAATACAAAGTTAGCTGGGCATGGTGGCACATACCTGTAATCCCAGCTACTGGGGAGGCTGAGGCAGGAGAATCGCTTGAATGTGGGAGGCGGAGGTTATGGTGAGCCGAGATCGCGCCGTTGCACTCCAGCCTGGGCAACAAGAGTGAAACTCTGTTTAAAAAAAAAAAAAATTCAGTGACTGATTCTAAGTCAAAATAATGAGTAAACTGCAATTTGTTTTAAACTGCTGTATATTTATGTTTTCCCAGTCTTTTAAGAGCTTATTAAAGGAATCTTGCCAGAAATTCAGAGACTTCTTTCTGACTATAAAGAGGTTACCTGTCCAGTAAAGACCTACATAAGGAAAAACCCATACCACAAAATGTGTAAGACAGCAGATTAAGAAAGTCCCTTACAGAAAACTCTAGAGCTACAGAAATCTGGTTAAGAAATTGGGGGTTAGGATAAGAGAAATGTGATAAGAAACTCTTTGGAGTAGATTCTTTGTAAGTTTTCTGGAGTAGATTCTTCATACCTGAATTTTTTTTAGTCATCTCTCCTTTAACATCTCTAACTTTGTTATTTGGTTGACACATTCTGATCAAGTTGCTAACACAAAATAAGATTGGTTATTTAGGGAGAAGAAAATAGAGAAGATAGATGTATATATATCAGAAAAGAAAGGATGAAAGTCAGTGGACTTGGGAGAGAAGAGAGACTATGAGAAACAAAGAGAGCTTTAGTAAAATAAAACTTCTGAAAATATTACCAAGACTTCTTACTTAGAATTTTTCTCTCCTCTTGAGTAAATTCTCCAGTATGGTTGGTGGTGGAACTTCTGGAAAGAAATTAAAAAGGAATGAATTTTTAATTCAAAAACTAAAAATGAAAAAAAATTGATGAATTAATTGGATAAATAAATAGAAAGCAAGCCAATAAAATGTTTCAGATCTTCATTGACAATTACCTAGTACCTACTTAATAAGAATGTTAGAACTAAAAATTGTTATGTGTGAAATAGGAAACCTGCTTTAGGTTTCTTTGTCATCCGGTTTTGTGCTAATGTAAAATTAGAGTAAGAACTTGTACCAAACAACTATTAATTTAAAAAAATAGTGCTCTTAGGAGAACCAGGTAATAAAAATCTTTATTAATAGTGACTATAGAAAAGCATGAAAATTAAAATTAACATTTAATTAAAATTAAAGCCACTGGAAATATTTTAAAAATTAACAGTAAGATTATAACTTTTGTCTTTGGGGCAGTAATACGTTTTGAGATTCCTTGCACTTTTGCTTTATATTTGAATGTCATGAAATTTCCACCATGGTTGACGAAAGATAAAATAACAGTATTTTAGTGTTGACTACACTGGAGGCTAAAATATTTTTAAAGGATCAAAAAGAGCAAAACTGATCCTTCATAATGAAAGGCAGCCCTGGAGTTAAATGTTATTTACAAATCTCATTTCTCATTGACTTTTTGTGTTTTGGTTTTGTTTTCAGGCAAAAGGACTCTTGTGGAAGATGGAACTCATTGTCCATTTTCCAGAATGTATTTCCAAGCCCATCAATGGAACCTGATACTGCTGTTCTGTGTTGAAATGCTTGAAGAACACCTGCATCTCTGCTTGCATCTTCCATCCTACCGAAACCATGGTCTTCTCGGCAGTGTTGACTGCGTTCCATACCGGGACATCCAACACAACATTTGTAGTGTATGAAAACACCTACATGAATATTACACTCCCTCCACCATTCCAGCATCCTGACATCAGTCCATTGCTTAGATATAGTTTTGAAACCATGGCTCCCACTGGTTTGAGTTCCTTGACAGTGAATAGTACAGCTGTGCCCACAACACCAGCAGCATTTAAGAGCCTCAACTTGCCTCTTCAAATTACCCTTTCTGCTATAATGATATTCATTCTGTTTGTGTCTTTTCTTGGGAACTTGGTTGTTTGCCTCATGGTTTACCAAAAAGCTGCCATGCGATCTGCAATTAACATCCTCCTTGCCAGCCTGGCTTTTGCAGACATGTTGCTTGCAGTGCTGAACATGCCCTTTGCCCTGGTAACTATCCTTACTACCCGATGGATTTTTGGGAAATTCTTCTGTAGGGTATCTGCTATGTTTTTCTGGTTATTTGTGATAGAAGGAGTAGCCATCCTGCTCATCATTAGCATAGATAGGTTCCTTATTATAGTCCAGAGGCAGGATAAGCTAAACCCATATAGAGCTAAGGTTCTGATTGCAGTTTCTTGGGCAACTTCCTTTTGTGTAGCTTTTCCTTTAGCCATAGGAAACCCTGACCTGCAGATACCTTCCCGAGCTCCCCAGTGTGTGTTTGGGTACACAACCAATCCAGGCTACCAGGCTTATGTGATTTTGATTTCTCTCATTTCTTTCTTCATACCCTTCCTGGTAATATTGTATTCATTTATGGGCATACTCAACACCCTTCGGCACAATGCCTTGAGGATCCATAGCTACCCTGAAGGTATATGCCTCAGCCAGGCCAGCAAACTGGGTCTCATGAGTCTACAGAGACCTTTCCAGATGAGCATTGACATGGGCTTTAAAACACGTGCCTTCACCACTATTTTGATTCTCTTTGCTGTCTTCATTGTCTGCTGGGCGCCGTTCACCACTTACAGCCTTGTGGCAACATTCAGTAAGCACTTTTACTATCAGCACAACTTTTTTGAGATTAGCACCTGGCTACTGTGGCTCTGCTACCTCAAGTCTGCATTGAATCCACTGATCTACTACTGGAGGATTAAGAAATTCCATGATGCTTGCCTGGACATGATGCCTAAGTCCTTCAAGTTTTTGCCGCAGCTCCCTGGTCACACAAGGCGACGGATACGTCCCAGTGCGGTCTATGTGTGTGGGGAACATCGGACGGTGGTGTGAATATTGGAACTGACTGACATTTTGGGTGATGCTTGTTCTTTATTGACATTGAAGTTTCTTTCTCATAGCCTCTCCACTTATACTTTATTGTTTTTTATGGACTTCGTGTATGTATGTGTGTGAGCAGTGTAAAGAAAGAATGGTAATTATGGTTCTGTTACCAAGAATAAACAATAGGAAAGTGATTACAAATATTACCTCCAGGATTCAATAGAAATCCTCAATTTAGGATGAGGAGATGTTTTTTTGGTTTTGGTTTTTGGGTTTTTCCTTGATTGATTTTGTTTTCATAGTAGGAATCAGGATTGTGCTTTATTGAGCCTGCAGTTATATTGAATTGTAGGCATTTTATGTGCTGCTAAGGTATGCTTAGTTGAGTTTATCAAGAGTTTTTTTTTTCTGGAAGACACTGCTGCTTTTTACCATCACATTGGAGCCAAACATCTCAATCAATATATATTTAGATTTATTTTAAAAACTAACCCAAGAAGGTTAGTGACATTTTAAAGGTCATTACTATTTACTTTGGTGCACTTTAAGAGACAATGTACAAATTAATTCAGTCTTATTTTTCAGAATTGTTTTTATACATGATACGTGCTTTAGGAAACGTGCATTATCATTTATGGGAAGATAGTTTTAAAAAATGTTTTATCTGCATGTACAGTTGTAAAAGAGAGAACATAAAATGTAGAAATTTTTCTAAGCACAGTAGCAACTCTTCAGAGCAATAGCACAAAATCAAGGAGACAACATCCTTGCGAATTTAAAAGGTGAATGTAGTGAGGGGGATGGCAGGTGGCTGGTGCAGGCTGTGGTGATTCCTTTTACTCAAGGGTTTTTGTGGAGTATAGGGAGAAGGGGTTGACATTTATGGACCTATGTTTCAGGCACTGTACATCATTTTATCCTCGCAAGATGCTGTGAGGTAGGTATTATTGTTTTCATTCTTAGAGGTGAAGAAAGCAGGTCTCAGAGGGACTAAAATCCTGCCCAAGGTTAGTGGTAGAGCTGGGATCCAAAAATCTGTCAGAATCCTGAGGCTGCGCTGTTCCAGTATGCCACACAGACAGTTCATTCAGTTTAGATGTCTCATAGTCAAGAGGGAACTCTATGCATCCTTTAACTTTTTAGACTATAATATTCTTTTTAAAAATTAGCCTTTATTTTCTTACTACCAAAAGAAATATGAAGGCATTACAGACACACTGGAAAATAGAAAAGAAAAAATATAATCACTTACAACTACTTTTTGTTTTTTGGAGACAGAGTCTCGCTTTGCCACCCAGGCTGGAGTGCAGTGGTGTGATCATGGCTCATTGTAGCCTCAACCTTGCAGGCTTAGGTAATCCTCCTGTCTCAGCCTCCTGAATAGCTGGAACCACACACACACACACACACACACACACACACACAC